CTTTCTATTTTTTAAAAAAATGTGTGTGTGTGCACGTACTTACACATGTGTACCACATGTGCTCTTAGCCACTGAACCATCTTCCCAACCCCTTTACCTGAGCTTGGATCCCTAGCACCTGGCATGACAGTGCCTACCTGTGACCCCAGCATCGGAGGACAGACGCAGGAGGATTATTGACGCAGCCAGCTAGCCCAGCTGAATGGATGTATTTCAGACTCAGTGAGAGACCCTGTCTCAAGAAGTGAAGGCAGAAAGCGAGTCAGGAAAGACACCTGACATTGACCTCTGGCCTCTACACACATGCGCCCAAATCTGCATCCACACATCCACGCTAACAAATCCATATACTTAGACCTGTGCCAAAACAAAGCCCAAACGACGGGATCTCCCCATTCTTTAGTTAATCCGGGCATCTAAAAGATGATCTTTCAGCATGACCGAGGTGTTTTTCTTCTTATTTCTAGTCTTTAAATTTTGACGTCTTTACGGAGAGTACACTTTAGTGCTTGGCACCCTCCGCTTTTGTTACGGACAAGAAGGGGTGAGAGCTGAGGGTGATGTGGTTCTTTGGCCACATTCTGTGGTGCTGGCCGAGGGGTCCTGGGGTGGTGGGAGCCTGCGCTTTGGGAAGTTTCTGACTTTGTACCGAACGTCAGCTCTCTGGTTTGTTCTGTCAATCCTGGCAGCTTGATTTGCATACTTATGAAGTAGCAGGAGACACAGCTGGTGTGGGAACAGTGGATGCCCGGGCTGGTGAGAAGCAGATTAAATCAGTGCCACTCAAGAAAAAGGCTTATTTGGATATGCTTACGAAGACTGCTTGTATGTTGAGAGGAGCACATGTTACTAACAAGCTGTTTCCCCTAAGTGAATGGCACCATTAGTCCAGCTGCGTGACCTCCCCACTCAGAAGGGCAGACTCCTCGTTACTGTGTGGGGATCGCCATGATTCCATGGTCTTAAGTAAGTAACTGGCAGGGGCCATCTCCTTCCCCACACAGTGTTGAGGGTTTGTCTCTTTGAAAAGCAATCATGCAAATAGGAACCAACCTGGTCTCAGGGTTGGGGTTAAATCAGTTAACAAGTCACTATGAGTCACAGGCTCATATCCTTGGGAAAGCTGCACACTAGTAATTAGGTAGAAGAAAAGCCACGTGTGTGGAATATTAAGTAATATTAAAGTATAAATCGGAGAGGAGAGATAGCATGAGGCTAACAGTGGCAGGTTGTGGGGGGCGGGGCTGATTAAGACAATGTTGGAAGTTCAGAAGAGAGAATTAGTTACAAATCCTGGGATTTGTACAGCCTCTGTGCCTTTACATCTCTCAGGGCACCGCTGTCCACATCAGGCCACTCCTGGCCTTTGTTTTTGTTTCTGTTTTATCTGACCTTGGCCTTGGGGATGAAGGCCTTTTAATTCTAATTCTTATTCAGATAGGTTAAGAAATCCCGGTCTGTTAGATGGAAAGAGTTCACACCTTTGGTCTTTCAAGGCTCCGTTGGTCATTTGAGAAAGGAGCCGGACCTGCCTGGCCTCATGAGCCTGTGTTCTTGAGGGACTAGGCTAGCCATGCCTGCTTTATCCTTGTGGGTACTAGTAAGGCGGCTACGAGTGTAGCCCCTCCGTGAAGGTGGGGAGGACGCCGTCTGTAGACCCGACCCGCATTCGCCTCCCTCTTACATGTTTCCCCTCTTGTTTTGGAAGGGTTCCTTCCGTGCTCTTGTTTTTATTCTAAGTAGATAGTGGCATGTAGTGTTTGTGCATGTGTCTGTGTGTGCATGCACACCCCTGCAGGGGCGCACACGCCATGGTGTATGTGGGTGAGTGGCAGAGGATAGCTTGTGGGAGTCGATGTTCTTCTTCCACCTTGTGGGACCTGGGAACAAACTCAGGTTGTCAGCCTTGGTGGCAGGTGCCTCTATACCCACTGAGCCACCTCGCCAGCCTGACACCTATTTCCTGAAGGTCAGATGATGCCTGTAGCATTGGCCAACCACAGTGGCTGGATGTAGGAAGTGCTTAGTAGAGGTGAGCCGTAAGTAAAGCTCTGAGCACTTCTCACAGATGCCTCGTGCCTGCCTGTGTATGAGGTTACAGTGATGGAGGACAGCTGGCTATCCACGAGTGTGTCAGCTCGGATCTCTGCCACGATCTAACAAGGGAGACTGGCTCACAGGTTGTCAATTACGGCCTAGAATTACATCGACTTTCTCAATACATGTTGGCTCCCGGGCTCTTTTCCCTCTTTGGTCACCGTGACTGGGAAGTGTGTATTCTGGTGGTAGACTACCGCTATGTCTTGGAGGGCTGTTCCTCGGCACTGGCGTGATTGCCCATATGCCTGCCTGTCTTCTGTGGTGTTCCTTACACTAAACCCAGACCCGCCTGCTCCTAGGAGCCTGAAGCCCTGAGTAGTGGACCTGAGGAGCCGAGGTTTTCTCTCCTGCCTGACCATCATCCATCCTAGTGCAGGCATCGTTCTCCGGAGAGTGCTCCTGGGTGATAGCCAGGGCAACACAGCTTGCTGGTTGGTAGAAGACCCCCAGCGTGGAATCACCTCACCTCTTCTTTCAAAGCTTGACGAACATATTTTCCCCCTGCGTCCTGGCACCCTTGTGAAGGAGTTAGGCAGGCATCCGGATCATCTGATGTCTGTTTTCCCCCTTGGGTGTTTTGTGATCGGGAAAGAGAGGACTGAGGAGATGGTAGGCGCTAAGTGGATTTCAACCCAGATTTAAGTGAATCTGAGGTGGAACCCCCACCCCCACCTCCAGGCAATCCAAGAGTGGAGCTGCCCACCCCTGGCTCCAAGGACAGCCCTTAATCTCTTGCCTTGTGAGCAGATGCAGCGGGGGAGGGGGGGAGGGAAGGAGCATCAGTCTGTGATGTCAGTGGTGCAACTGTGCTACTGGGCTCTTTCTAAAATCCTTGTGTCTATGTAAAATGTACTGCAGGCCTCGGTGGCCTGTGGACAGCCCTGAGCAATAACAACTCTGTGGCTTGTGGGTACGTGCCTAATAGGAGTTCCCATGACTCGGGGAAACACTAGGCAGTGTGAGCAGGACTCAAGGGCTCTCTGCTCTTGTGATGGGGTGTGTTCTTGTACGGGACAGCGTGCAGATTGGGCATAGATGCATCAAACATCTTAGTCTAAAGAGAAGGCTAAGAAGTTACAGTGTCCACAGACAGGGACGATGCTTCACAGCTCCTGAGGACATTTATTTTTTCTGAATGGAGGAAGGAGGAAGGAAACCTTACATATGGAGTAAGAAGCTGGATTGTGGCCCAGAATTTTTTTATCTTGACCAGGAAGTTTAGACCCAGCTATGTTAGCATGGCATGGAGAAGGGACTCCTAAGCTTAAGATTCAACTTTGAGCATCTTTTGAGGCTGGGTGGAACGGTCTGATGTCAGTCACACTGGTGTGATATTCCGGTGTCAGCCCATGGCCATCTTCAGGAAGGTTAGCATCCTTAAGACAGTCCTTAAACTTCTAGTGTTTGACACTTAGCTATAAGGAGCTGGCATTCAGAGGTAATCATAGCTGTGAGATATGCCATGACAGTCAGCAGGGTCTGAAGAAAATGTACTTAAAAGAGGAAAATCTGTAAGTCTAAGTAACCTCCTCATGGGAAATTGTGGTAATGCTGTGATCTTTGTGGGTGGCCACCAGTTACAGAGGGTGACACACATAAATGACACTCGCTAGAAGGCTCACCCTTTGACAAAATTACTAGGCAATTTTGGACCACTGCCAGACTTGCTTCTTCTTTTTTTTTTTTTTTTTAAATTTATGTTTTATGAGACGGGGTCTTACTCTGTAGCCCAGGCTATCCTTGAGCTTGTGGTCATCTTTCTGTCTCTGCCTCCTGAGTGCTGGGATTACAGGCCTGTTCGGCATATACAGCTGTCATTTGTTCCTGCACCTGGGAAGGTTGCTGGGAGGAGCCCTTGGTAAGCATAGCTTGAAAGAAAACATGGTGATTCTCATGAAACAGGTTAACAGAATGGTGAAGGCAGAATTGGGGGAAGGGACAGAGGCAGGAGATAGAAATTCATGCTTTCAGATTGAAATCCAGCATCAGGGATTCATCTATTAGAGGACATTGTTGGATGTTTTCTGTTTGTTTGTTTGTGTGTTTGTTGTCATCAGGCTAGATTTGAAGTCTAGACCTTAGAATAGACAGATCAGTTCTTTGCCCATGCCTTCCCACTTCTTGCTAAGCCTTAAGTCTAGAAGTAATATTTTATCTTCCTCCCCTTTTCCTCCTCATCCTTCATATACACAAAGCAGTTTTCCCAGGCCATTCCCAAACCTCCTTTCCTGGGCTCTGCTCTGTACACTTTGTTCTCAGCACATCACTCCTGGCAGGGCAGCCTCCCACCCCCACAGAGGCACACTGGCCTCTGTGTGCCTCATATGGAAGCTTGGCTGCAGCTTGCACAGGCCCTGCCACCGGTGTCTAGCACTGCTGTCTGATGCCTGTGCTTTGTATGGGTTTGCTTTCTTCCACTTGGTGATGCTGGTGGTGCTAGTTCCTGCCATAAGTCCTGTGCACTGCCAGTTCTCCTATCCGAAGTATCCCCTTCCCCCGCTTCACCCTTCCATCCAAACCACTGGCTCCTTCTTGACTGTCTTACAGCCTTTTAGAGACTCTTTCCCTGATCTCGCACATAGAAATAGCTTCTCCAGTATTCCGTTCTTTGGAGAATAAGACTCCGCTCTCAGCTTTTTCTAATTCCAGCATGGCTTGCCTGTCTCTCCTAAAGAGCAGAGACCTGTCCTGCCTTGTCCGCTGTCCTCCCAGAGGGCAGTGCTCGTGAGAGGAGTATGATAAATATATCTCTAAGCCTGAACCTGCTCTTTAGCTGAGTGTGAGAAAGTGCCTGGGTGACCCCTGCCCAAAGAAGCCACAGACAATGCCTGTGGTGGTGGCCTTCCTTCCTCTCCCATATTTCCCTGAAGTCTGATGACTGGTCCTCTCTCCCCTTGCAGCCGCCCATGCCAGCTGCCTTTTCCGTCCACGGTGCAGCAGCATAGTCCCATGTCCTCTCAGACTTCCTCTGTCAGTGGGCCTCTGCACTCCGTCTCCCTGCCTCTTCCACTTCCCATGAGCCTGGCTGCTCCACAACCTCCACCAGCCTCCCCCAGTCAGCAGCTTGGACCAGATGCCTTTGCAATTGTGGAGCGAGCCCAGCAAATGGTGGAGATTCTCACAGAGGAGAACCGTGTGCTTCATCAGGAGCTTCAGGGCTGCTATGACAATGCCGACAAGCTGCACAAGGTACGTGACATGCTGAGGTAATTTGATGGGTCATGGAGAAGAGAGAGGTAAATAATTGGGCTGTGATTGGCGTGAGACCATGGGGTTTCATTTCTAAGCACAAGGATTATCATAGTGATCTTAATGAGTCTGAGGGCCTGTTTTAAATGCAATTCAAACGAAGGAGAATCCTTGGCAGCCATACTATGAACACAATTCAGGACACACCAGCCACTCATGATCACTGTGGAGGAAACAGAAAGGCCTTGTTGGAGAGTTGGACAAAGAGAGAACCATCTTCTGTATAAGAAGGCCTAAGGGAGAATCACATGGTACCAGAGAAACCTTGCCCTCCCTTAGATGACATCTCTATTCCAGGGAGGGACTGAAAACGTGGCCCTGGCCTTCTGGTGACTAGGGCAATGGCACAAGTGCCTCTTACCCATGGCTTAAAGTTCTACTGTAAGCAGTCACTTGACCTTCCATATGTGCTTGTCTCTTTCAGTCCTTTCTTTTCTTTTCTTTCTTTTCTTTTCTTTTCTTTCTTTCTTTTCTTTTTTTTTTTTAATTTTTGGTCATCTAAATATCTTCGTCAGTTGGCTTACAAAACAGTTCCATCCTTACATTTTCATACAGTGTGCCATGACATATGACTTTGCTTGCAGTCCTCTTACCCCATTGCACACTCTGGTCCCCTCTCCTGTGAGTCCTTTTCTTCCCCCAAATAGTCCCTTCAAATTTCATATCCTATACACATACATTTTTTTAAACATACTCAGTATACTAGAGAGAACGTGCTATGTGTGATTCTATCCACTTCCCTGCAAACAACACAAGTTCATCTTCCTGGAAAGCTGAATAAAACTGCACTGTGTATTAAAGCACATTTTTTTTTTTTACCCATTTGTCTGTTGGATGGGCATCTAGGCCGGGTCCCACCTCTTGGCTGTCATCTCACCCAGTTTGCCTTGTGCTACACAGCACTGCCCTAGAAGTTGTTGGTATCCACTTGGAAACACTACTATGCTAGACTCCCATGATGACAGTTACAGCTAATTGTTGATCTGTAGGTTAAAGGCCCCACTGTTGGCATTGTTGACTTGATAAAACACGAACAAATAAACTCAGATCTACGGTTTCAGTCCCATCCCTTGCAAGTCTTTCAAACGAAGAGGTTTTCTACTGTGCGTCTGTTCACAGTTAGGTTCAAGTGCATTAGTTCTTGTAGAGCTGTTTCACAGACAGCACTCAGCATTGAAGCCCAGCCCTGCACGGAGACAGGAGCAGGGTCCCTGGAAGGAGCACTGTGCTTAAAGTCTGGAAGTGTGAGGTTCAGTTGGAATGCCTGAGTGTTCCCCCCACTTTAATATCTTCCTCGTGTGAAATCGGACCATCATTAAAGCATTATAAATGATAATACAAAATAAGCTGTTTAGGGGAACTGAGGGATGGCTTAGTGGTTGAGAGTACTTGCCGTTCTTGCAGAGGACCTGAGTTCCCCATACCCATATTGGTTTACATCTGCCTGGAACTCTAGAGGATCCAGCATCCTTTTCTGGACTCCTTAGATACTCACACACAAATAATAAGTAAATAAAATCTTTTAAAAGTGATGTTTCAATTATGTTTAGCTTCATCCCTTCCTCCTGTCAGTGCAGAGAGACACTTACTGGACGACGTTAGACAGCGTGACTAAACTTAGGAGAGTGTTCTTACAGGATCACTGTAGCGCTGACAGGGCAGGAGGAGCCAGGAGAGTCGATGTGAAAGTTGGGGCACAGAAAGACATCAGGGCACTGTACCTCCAGCATCGTAGAGGCTCTGCCACAAATGCCACTTGAACACTGGGTCTTCCTTACAGTTTGAGAAAGAGCTGCAGAGGATTTCGGAGGCCTATGAGAGCTTGGTCAAGTCTACCACGAAGCGCGAGTCTCTGGACAAAGCAATGAGAAACAAGCTGGAAGGTGAGATAAGGAGACTTCATGACTTCAACAGAGACCTCCGAGGTATGTCTTATTCTTTTGTGTCAATGTCAGGTGTCTTCCTTGTCCATTCTCCACCTTATTTTCAATGTTGTTAAGCGTGTGTGTGTGTGTGTGTGTGTGTGTGTGTGTATGTATGTGTGTGTGTATGTCTGTGTGTGTGTACAGAAGACAACTTTTGAGAGTTGTTTTTCTCTGTGTTGTTGAGGCAGGCTCTCTCTTGTTTCTGCCATACTTTATGTTCCAGGCTTATAAGTGATTTTCTTGTCTCTCCATGAGAGGACTGGAATTACAGATGCAAACCACTACGTCTGGCTTTTGTGTGTGTGTGTGTGTGTGTGTGTGTGGTGTGTGTGTGTGTGTGTGTGTCTGGGAATTGAACCCAGGTAGTCTAGCCTTCGACATCCTTCTCTTCATACACAGCTCTCGGCACTGACCACATTTCTCTGTTGTGTGATGACTTAGGCTCATTCCTCCTTTGTGTGTAGATCGACTGGAGACAGCCAACAGGCAGCTGTCCAGCAGGGACTATGATGGGCACGAAGACAAAGTTGCAGAAAGCCATTATGCGTCTCAGAGTGAGTATGTGTGTCTACGGCAAAGCTTTTACTTTAAAATACCGGAGCTGGAGGCAAGGGTCATACCAGCTCCTAGTAGGTTTTTTGCTGTTTCTTTTTTGTGAGTTAATTTAGCCTGTGACCTGTGGTCTTCAGATGAGAGTCTCTTAAGTCAGTCAGTGGCAAGGCTGCGGTGTCAGACCTCATTTCAGTGATGTTGAGTCTGTAACTAAGACAAAGTCAAGTCTTGAGTGTTGTTTGCACGAACAATATTGATAGCTTTCTTTTGGATGACTGTATGCGTGGGCAGGGGGAGACGTTCTGGCTGTGCTCTGTCAGGGTATAAGCCCATATTGTAGACCATGTCATAGAATGAGCATTCGTTGGTCTCCCAGCCAAGGCTGGTGCTGATGGACTAATAGGGTTTGGTGTTGGTGAGCTCACTCACATTCCTGAGGAATTTCACCTTTGGCTCAAAGCTGAAGCATCAGCAATCTGGCATTGAGGCCCCTCTGGATTTATAGGGGATGGTTCGTTCTGCATAAACATGCTTTGCTGTTTTTCAGAGGCATAGACAAAGAGGCCACAGGCATTTCTCAAGTACTTAGAGGTATCCCAAGGTTGAGGTGTTAGGTAACTGAGTGTAGGCAGGGCCTTTCAGACAGGCTGGCAACCGTGCCCCGTAACCAGTCTTCTCACATGAAATCCCCATAGCTCACCTTCCCCCTTCCTTCAGTGTTATCAGTATTCAGTGATACTTCAGAGTGCTTTGAAGTATTTTGCTTTCAGTGATTCAGAGTGCTTTGTTCTTCTGGCATGGCTAATGGATGGATTCAAGATGTTATTCTATATTTACCTAGGACTTTTTCCTTAGTGAACCTGAAAAATGTTTTGAATATTGAGAAAATTAGCATGGCCCCCGGGTACCGTGCAGGTACTCCCCAGTGTTTGTACTCGCTAGCATGCATAGTGCTGGAAGGTACCGGGCATGTGGGGGGGCTTGAATGAGATGAGATGTCCCCCCAGTCTGGGGAATTTGCATATTTGTGTCCTCAGCGAATGGCAGTGTTTGGGAGATTTAGAAGATATGTGGCCTTGTTGGAAGAAGTTTGTCACCAGAAGCAGGCTTTGAGAGTTTAAAGGCTTTTTGCCATTCTGAACTGGCTTTCTCAGCTTCCTGCTTGTGATCTGAGATGTGAGCGCTCAGCTGTTTCTGCTGCCACAACTCCCACCATGGTGGACTCCTAATCATCTTCAATCGTAATAAACTCTGTCTTCTATAAGTTGCTCTGGTTGCGTTGTTTTATCATAGCAATGGCAAAGTATCTAACAGAGCATGTTGCTAGAGTGAAAATAATCTCTCAACCCAGCTGTGAACCTGTCAGCTACAATAACAACTTGCCTATCAAGATAGGCCCACAGGGGCAATAATGGCATAAATGCTGTGGGAGCAACTAACCACTCTTAGAAATTGGATTTCATGCCTGCTCCATAAAATGGAATGCATGCCTGACATTGTCAGTGAGGCCACGAACCTATTGGTAGACAGGTAACAGACCCTAGGAGAGCCTGCTGCTATTATTCTGCCAAAAGAACAAGGCAATAAAATGGCTCCTAATGGCATATTGGAGCCCATAGATTAGTGCCATCGCGCAGCCCTCACCAGAGAAGCTTTCTACAGGATATGGTGATTGCTCGTGGTGTTTGTTACTTGCAGAGTTTTCAATAACTGTACTCAACACCTTCTAGGTTTTATGTCATGTATAGGCTTGTTTTTTTTTTAATCTTATGCTTTGTTAGGCATAAATCTAAGTTTAAAACACTATTCAACAGTGTATTCTTCAAAGAAGAGTTTGATTCCGCTGTTTTATGTGTAGTGTTTTGAAGGCTAGCTGGGTAATAACAAATTGATGAGGGTAGAACCATAAACCAGAGAGAAAAAACGTTTTCGTATAGGGGTACTTTAATGTTTTCTGTTGGGACAGCAGAAGTCAGTAGTGGAGATTAGAAACAGAGAAGCAAGTGATAGATTAGTAAGGGTTGGAGGGGTATTGAGTAAGGGCAGTATGGAGTAGGTGTGGCCAGAACAGCCGGATAATGGATTAGTTGCTTTTCTCATTGCTGTGGCCAAATACTTGACAAGAAACAGTTTACGGGAAGACAGGTTCATTTTTGGCTCAGGTTTGAAAGGATAAAGTCCCTTATGGCCAGTAAAGCATGGTGACAAGATCATGAAGTGGCTGGTTGCATTGATGAGGCAGTCAGGAAGCAGGGAGAGGACTTCCACGGACTACCCTTGAGTGATCTGCTTCCTCCACATAGGTCCCATCTCCTGAAAGTTCTATAATATCCCCAAATAGCACAACCAAGTGTTCAATTCCCATTCGAACCATGACAGCCAATCACCCTTATTAATAAAATACAAGAAGTACAAGTTAGGGTCAGACAATGAGTGGAAGTTGAGCTGTGGAGTTTTCCCCTTGCATAGGTAGCCTCATGGACCGCTGTAATGAAAGTTGCAGACAAGTGCAGAAGGCTGGATGGGAGATGCACTGCACCAGGCTTTCATTCAGGATGTGGGCACAGAATGACAGGCATGAATTACTGCAGCTGTGCCTACTTATTAACGTGTTCTGTTATTCGAATAGTCTTCCAGAAACTCTAGCATTAGAACAAAGCAGAACAAAGGTCATCAAACCGTAGTCATCATAATTTCAATGTCGCCCATTCAAGGAGAAGCATCCTTCTCAAATGAGTCTTTTGGGACTCTAACAGTTAGTTCAGAGAAATGCAAGACAGGCCAGCATTAGTGATGACTCTGGATACCCGTGCTGAAAATAAAGGCTGGGGTGTGGGGCTGACAACCTTGGCTGATGCAAAAAAACGAGGGTAAGAGAAGGTATATAGGAAGTAGCTTCTTTTTTTAAAATTTTCTTGTGTTTACCCTGATCCCAGAATGTGTAAGCCCAAAAGAGACAGACACATATACACACACACACACACTTAAAATTGATGACAAAAACTGCACTTTGCTCTGTGTAGTTGTTGCTGAAAAATCTGAAGGCCAAGGTGGGGCCTACGCAGGTCTGCTAGGCTATGCTTAGCCATGAGGCTTGCTGGTTCCACAAGTTCAAAGCCACAAGAGTTTGAGTATCTTCAGGAAATTCCTTTCCTGTCCCCTCATGATGATGTGACATTGTCGTCAGAGGAATTCAAAGTTTTGTTTTATGGTTTTGCCTCTGGGCTTTTCCAATTATTTGTAGACTGTGAGATGACAATTGTCAAAGCCAAATTTTTACTGAAGAGCAAGACTGTAAGACATCACTTGTTTATATGGCTGTGCTAAAGTGGGCCTTATTTGTCCTTCAGTTTAACTGAATTCCCCAGTTTTCCATTCTCCCCTATCCTTCTCCCCCATCCCCCACCAAAGGCAGCTTATGACAAAAGCAAATCACCTGGGAATATCTATCAATCTTAGCTACAACTTCTCAGTCATTGGGACTTTTTTTCACCACTTCTCTATGAAAATTAGTGACTACAGATTTCCGTCTATTTCAAGCTAGCGAGCTAAAAATAAAATATTAGATATGGGGAAGGCTAGGTTGGGAGAGATGAAATTTCATCCTAGGAAGTTTTTAAATGATCATGTCAAGCCTTGTGATAGTTTTGGATGAGACAGCGCTGGCTAGCTGGGCATGTGTGCCGTTCTGGGGTACAGTAAGTCGTATGTGAGTCCTGCCTAAGGGTCTCTACACCTTGCCAACTTTCAGGGGAGCAAATTCCCCGAGCTTGCCTTCAAACTTGCTTACCCATGCTGTATTTCAAATGGAGAACATTTGAGTGCTTCATCTACTTAGTGTAACTCTTGACAGGCACTTCTTAGAAAGTCAGGCCTTTACAGAAACTAGGAGAGTGTGGTCTGCAGGGTGGCTGTTTATACCAAGGGAATCTTCCCCCAAGGGTAAAATAACAGTAGTCAGTTTAAGCTCCGGTTGTCTCCGCCTAGTGAACAGAGCTGACTAAAGAAGGCTGCTAATCACATTTTGATGATGTCTGGCTGCCATCAGGAAGCATGTTATGATTTTTCACATTGATAGTTTTACAATTGTTGTTTTGCTTGGCCCTAACGGTGATAGAGCTGAAAACTGAGCTGCTCTGTGTGGGTAGATGGATAGAGGACGCGATCGCCATTTGGGCTTCATGTGTCCTCGGGGAACCATCACAGAAACAGGAAGCCTGCCAGTAAGCCTCAATTCAAATGGCATTTGCTTAGGGAAGCCTTTGGAGAGGAGTTACATATTCCCATCACAGACTCAATGGATGTCCTGCCTCCTTCCCTCCGCACACACTCATCACAAGTATCAAATTAGTAATGACTTGTATAATCCTTGCAGTCTCCCTTACTGCCCAGTCCACTCTCTAAAACCTTCCATCTGTCCTGCCTTCCCAACCGTTATACTTCTGTTTAGCTGTGTTCCCAGAACCTGCCACCTAGAGGCATTTAGTAAACATTTACTGTTTCCAGTGAAATGGCGGCCGTGATTGTTTAAACTAGTGGCCAGATGCTGTTTGCTGTGAACTCTTGTGTTCTAGGCCTTGACAAGCACACTCTTTCATTTGAGATGGTGTGGAGTTCAGGATTTGAAGCAACAAGTGCTCAGCTATGCAGCTAGAGCCCCAAAGCATCCACAGAAGATTCCTAAACAAATGGGGGGAACACCCATAAAACTTGTTTACAAAACAAACAAACAAGAAAAACAGCTACAAAAAAGCCTTGTCATAGTTTACAGGCCTCACTTCCCACCATTGGTGGGAAAGAGAAAGAAGAGGAAGGGGAGGGAGGAGGAGGAGGCAGAAGTATTGGCAGCAACTGCAGGGACTAGCCCCTGGGAGACCGTTATTGGGTATCCAAGAGTTTGGACAGAAAACGTGAGGTGTGAGGCCCACTGGGGACTGTGGGTGGTGGGCAGTGATCCACTTCTTTAGGGATTTTTGTGCCTGTTTTCCGTGCACACAAATGGAGAGGTGACGTGGAAAGTGAAGGGGGAGTAGTTGGTCACTGCAGTGGGACAGAAGAAACCCGAAGCCTAGCTCTCCTCTGGAAGAGGGTTTTGGTGACCTGGGTCACATTTGTTTTTAGGAAACACATCTTGTCCCCAGTTGTGCAGTCGGCTTTGAAGCATCCCTGCCCTCTGGCCCTACTGACATAACTTGCTATTGTAAGAGTAGCTCATTTAAGTGAGAAGGACATTCCAGTGGATGCCAGGCACCCGGGGGTTCCCACTCTGCCTCAGCTGGCAGTGGGCCTGAGGCCTTTGCTCCTGGCCTTTCCTCTCCTCTCTGCAGCACCGACTTTGCTAGGTTCATGCAGACTCCTCCTTTTCATCATCATGCCCACATTTTCTGCCCCTTTAGCGAAATGTTCTTTCAATTGCTTGTCAGCCCAAGGTGCTGGTCCTTGGTGCCTGAGAGCTAATTTTGTTTACATTCATGAGCAATTGGCCATGGGAAGAAATGTTCAGTGAATCAGTGTACACACTGCAGCGTGCTGTTGTGCCTTCCAGACTTGGCTCTCTGCTTCAGTGCGTGTGGCTGGGGGTGTTGATAACAGCGTTCAGGCGGTGTGATACGGAGAGGCAAATTCTGCTGGAGCTGCTGCTGGAGCTATCTGTGAATCCTTTCATTAATTGCCTGATTTGTTTCCTGTTACTGTGATGAACACCGTGCCCGATAGCACCTTGGGAAAAGAAAGGGTTTATTTGGCTTACGAACCTTACAGACAATCATCAGGAGAAACCAGGGCAGGAACTCCAGGCAGGAACTAAAGCAGAGACCAAGGAGGGGTGCTGCATACTAGCTTGCTCAGTTTACTTTCTTATACAACACAGGACCACCTGCCCAGGGATGGCACTGCCCACAGTGGGGTGGGCCGTCCCACACCAGTTATCAGTTAATTAAGAAAATGGCCCACAAACCTGCTTATAGGGCGATCTAACACAGGCGTTTTCTCAACTGAAGCTGCTTCTTCCCAGGTGACAAGAACTGTGTAAAGCTGATGAAAGACTAACATATGCATTTCAATAATAATGTTTTTCCCCCTGGTTTGAATGACTATGTGGGGTTCTCTTGTAGGATTTAATAGGATTTAGTGATTATAATGAGGGTTGAATCTAGGCATGCACATTCTAGACAGGTGCTCTACCAGTGAGCCATCTGCCCTCCTGTGACTTTTTTTCTTTGAGGCACATTTCACTAAGTTGCCCACACTAGCTTTGAAGTCACTGTAAAACCCAGTCAGGCCTTAAACTTGTCATCCTCCTGCCTCAGCTTCCTGATTATCTGGGACTACAGGCCTGCACCACCCAGCCTGGCTTCTTTATTCTTACATGTTAAATTCTTTTAAGCATTTTCATACTGTAGAAAGCATATCCAGATAATGTATGTTTAAAATGAAAAAGGTATTGCTTTTGAAGCAAGAAACATGTTTTCCATAACAAGCCCTTGTCCCATGTGGACTCTTGTGCTCATTGGAAGGCTGATCAGAAAGGTGGAGGGAGGTGGCCAGGTCATAGCTCCTAGTTGCAAAGGCCTGTGTTCATCACGTTTTGTTGAAAGCAGAGAATGGCTTTCCTAAATCTGAAGTTCCTATCCCCTCTTGACTGGACTAGGGGAGAACTTAGGGTCCTTCATAGGAGAAGGGGGTCAGGCTGGAACCTAGAGCTCCCTCTTTGTCAGACTGCAGTGAAAGAGTCTCTCTCTCAGGTCCTTGGTTTGCTGTTCTGAATGGAAATTTTAATAGCATTGCAAGTGGTACCTGCTCTTTCATCTGAGGTTTGGAAGATGCAAGCAAGGGAGGTTGGGAGCATAAAGTGAAATAACAGATACCAGTGAAATAACAGATATAAAATTAATTGGGAGTATTAAAGTCAGTGTTGCGGAAAAGTGAATCCCGGAGAATTTGGGGCTGTTGGCTCTGTGTGTACTTTCCTCTTCACTCTTGTTATGCTAGGAATCAAACCTAGGCCCATGTGCGGTTTAGGGCTTTCTCTCCCGCTGAGATGTAATCTGATACATCTCTGGAAACACGTCCTGAGCAGAGTTCAGGGGGGATTTGAGAAACGCATCCTGAGCAGAGTTAAGGGTTGGTGCTTCCAAGCAGCAGCAACAGTAACTGCCGTTTGCATGTTTTGTTTCGTTTTTTTAATTTTCAGTCCTTGCCAGATGTAGGTAGCCTGGCAGGGAGCCCCACACTAGGCATTTTCTGATGCAACTTGTTCTGTTGTCTTTTGTTTTGTTTTGTTTTGTTTTGTTTTTGTTTTTTTTTTCTCCCCTCTCTTCCAGACAAAGAATTCTTGAAAGAAAAGGAAAAGTTGGAAATGGAATTGGCAGCAGTGCGGACTGCGAGCGAGGACCGTCGGCGGCATATTGAGATCCTGGACCAGGCTTTGAGCAATGCCCAGGCCAGAGTGGTCAAGCTGGAGGAAGAGGTGAGATCAGCCTGGGGAGGAGTAGAGCACAGAGATCCTCCACCGCTGCTCCTCACCCAGCTCCTTCAGCCAGAGCCACTTCCGGGTTGCTGAGACAGGGGAGAATTATGGGAAACAACCCAGATGCAAATGAATAAAAGGTTTATCTAAGATGGAGCCTGGCAGAATCTGAGAGACAGGTATTCCAAGAGCCCACAGCCTGCCCTGGTGGTAGGCAAGTGTCCAGGGCTGCAAATGATTAACATAACCAGAAGCCACTGGTGCCTATAAAGAAGAGACAAAGTTCTGCAAAAAGACCCTCTGTGGCTGGGTCTTGGGCTCCCAATTCTAAGGCAAAGGCTTGGTGGGGTGGAATCAGGCTGGCACTCAGCTGACCCACTTCTGTGTCTAGACTGGCTGTGCCTTACCCCACATCCCCAACCCAGGAAAAGCTGATTTAGTAGTTTGTGATGAAACCAGCTCTTTAGCTTAGCTTTCTAGTTGCACTAACTGTCCCTTTAACTCCAAGAGAGAGATGAGAAGAACCGTGTATAGGGTTTAGACTGGGGACTGTGGGCTGTATGCTGGGCAGAGGAGGAGGAGGACAGGTGTCACCCACAGGGCTGTGCCCTCACCTTATGGCTCACTGCAGAGGTGGCTGGCACCTCTGCGATGGGGCACCCTGAGCAAATGTCATCATGGCAAGTGGATGCCAGTAGGTCTCGAGGATAGCAAGAGACCACACCAATATTTATCCTGGCACTTGGCACAGAAAGCAGCAAGGCTTGTGCCCCTTGGGTGCATTTTAACCCTACAAGTCCCATGCAAAAACTCACATGTTGTTACTAGCAAGAGAATCCTGAGTGGCAGCCAAGAGCGTCTACGTTGTCATCATAGAAAGTGCCCTTTGACCTTGAAGACAGGAGGTCTGCTCTGAGCAAGGGAAGACTGGACCCCCTGAAATCACTTCCTGAGGCCTCTTCTCCATGCATATAGTGAGGGAAAATGCTGTTTTGCAGCTTTTATTGTTACCTCTTAAAGTGTATTGTTATTGTGCATGCGTGGTGTGAGGTGGGGCACAAGTGTCACGGCGTGCATGAGGAGCTCAAAGGACAAGTTCATGGAGTCAGCTCTCCCGCTTTTGAGTGGGTTCCAGGGATTGAACTCAGGTTGGCAGGCTCGCACAGCAAAGCAGTTCTACCTGCTAAGCCATATTGCCAGCCCTTTTGTTTAATTTTAATATTCCTTATAGAAGTGAAAGTCATTTATGGGCCCTTGAAGATGGGCCCGATGACCATCATGGTTCCTGTCACTAATCCCCAAGCACTGTCACGAAGCCTCCCTCAGCAGCAGGCTGCCAGTATGACAGCGCTCTAGCCTAGGGCTGAGTCACCAGGAAGGCATCTGTCCGCCCAGGTGCAGAGGGGCAGGAAAACAGCACTCTTCTTGCAGAACACCAGATCCAGGAAATCCTTTGGCCGGGGTTTCTTGGCCCCAGGTGATTCCCAGGAAGCAGGAAAAACACCTGGGTTTTTGAATGTGAGCCAGACGCCCAGCGCAGAGACATCGCCAAGTACTAAGGGTTAAGGTTTGCCGCTGTGGGTCATGACCCTAAAGCCATACCTGACGGTGCGTTTATGTAATCATTTAACATTGCCTCAGGTGATCACTGTGTCCTTCCTGGCCCTTCAGGAAGGTACTCTGCTGTGGAGCAGAAAGTTATTCCATAGACGGCTGAAGTGAGACATTTCTCTATTCACCAGCACATCTACAAATGGGCACATGTGTGTATATGCAAACATACAAACCATACATATATACATAATTCCTCTATTGTAGAAATAATTGTAGCATATTTTCCATGTATTATATTTTTCATTAATTACATTCGTCATATATTGCTTTTTACAGAAATATTTTTATTTATTAGAGAAAAATTAGAAAACAGTACATTTCTTATTGTTCTTGCAGAAATGGCTGTTCTGTCATAAACATGACAAATACTTTGAGGATTTTCCGCAGTCTCTTTTTTCGTGGAGCTCTACATAGGTAGATAGATGTGGTTGTAATAATGTAAATAACTTCTGGTTTAGGATTTTTCATTTAACTTTAGAAACTAGGCATTTCTATACACTAGAAACTTTTTATTGATCTGATTTCCAGTGGCTGCAAGTGTTGTATCTATAAGCCAGTAACGAGAGTAGAGTACAGAGGTTTTCACGTGACCCTAAGCAGGCACACCAGAGGGCCTTTCATCCCTGGCCTTCTGGCCACCTTGCTGTACCTGCCACCGGCTCCTGGAGGACGGGAGTGGGGTGTGCACACACTTGCAGTTTAGCTGGGGTCTCCAGCCTGTCGTCCAGCCCTGCTGCCATAATCACTGGTGTCCGTTCTGCACTTTCACTGTCTCCCCTCAGCTACGAGAGAAACAAGCCTACGTGGAGAAGGTTGAAAAGCTGCAGCAGGCCCTGACGCAGCTGCAGTCAGCATGCGAGAAGCGAGAGCAGATGGAGCGCAGGCTTCGGACGTGGCTGGAGCGGGAGCTGGACGCACTGAGGACACAGCAGGTGAGCGAGTGACAGACCGAGGGGCTGGTGAAGCAGAGTGGCTCTCACATTCACCCAGCACCCCCTTTGAGGGCTATCGATGGACTCTGGGCAGCTACATGGCCTTCAGAGAGACCAGGGTCTCTGAGTTGAGGCTAAAAAGAAGAGAACACACTTTAGGTGAGCTTATATAGGGGCCATGGATGTTGGGTGTGCAGGACAAGAACACAGAGGCAGAGGAGGAGGGCTTGTAAAAGATGGGGCCCTTGAAAGTGTTGCAGACTCAGCACAGCTGGATGCAGCTGTGGAGGGGGCAGCTTGTGAGGGGCTTCTGATGACGCAGTGGCCCAACTGTGGAAGTCAGTTGGCCAAATGGAGAGAGTGGCCTTTTCCTAAAGTCAGTGGAAAGCAAGCACCTGGGAAGAAGTTCAGGTTAGGGGAGCCTGCCGTGGATCAGAGAAGAGCACTTAAGGGGGGCTAGTGGTAGAAGAGGAACTTCCCTGAAGTCTCTGTGTGGGCACCCAGGGGAGCCAAGGAGGAGCTGCAAGTAGGGGTCACACTGATCACTGAGTTCATTTGGGGAAGGCACTCAGAGCCACCTGGAGTAAGACTAGCCATGAACTACAGGTCTTCCTGCATCTCCTCTGCTAGTGGAGACCTTAAGAGCCTCCATCTCCACAGCTGATTGTGAAGCTCAGCCTCGAGGAAGCGCAGAGAGGAACGTGCCAGCCCAGGGACTACACATGTCTCAGCAAAGAGAATTCCTGCAGGAAATGCCAATGCGGGCAAGCCAGAGGCTCCTGCCTCAGATGTGCTGGGGCTTGCCTGGCTTTTGGGGGGGGGGCTCTCTCTGCAGCTGCCAGGGATGTGCATGGCAGGATCTCTGGAATTATCTAATGGGTAGGACACATGGGTGGCTGCAGCTGCACTTGAAGGCCTGCCCTCGGGTCTGCTCAGCCCCAGTGCATGGCAGGTTCCCACAGTTTCCCTCTGGAAGTGTGCCTTTGGCTGAAGAGGACAGTGCTGCCAGCATTTTAAATAAAATGAAGAATTCATCCCTGGCCTCCCCATCTTGTCTCCATGGCAGGACCTGGTTTGCAAAGAAAGGCCAGTTTTCCTCTGGTCTCCAGCACTTACACAGGGTGCTCGCTGTGGCACAGGACAGAGCCTGTCCTCCATCAGCCGGTCTCTGTGGGAGTGCTCACTGTGGCGTGGTACAGAACCTCTTCTCCATCAGCCGGTCTCTGTTGCTCAGCTACTGAGACCTCCATTGCCCCAATGCTGGTACCCAGATGGGAGACCTTAAGATCTCTGGCTGACAAAGAACTAGAGCCAGAAAGAATGTGCTTTTCCAGTTAATGTGCTGTCTACCCTGTGGTTAGATGTCCTGTCTGTGGATCTTTTGCTCTGGGTGCTGTGAGAGCAGACAGGACTGTCAATGAAGGAGGCTCATGAGTCTGGAATCGTGCGTACCTGCTTAGCCTGCATACACTCACCCCCGTACACACCCTCCTCATGCGTATGCCCTCGCCCCCAACAGTTCACCCCTCCCCAATACAGGGTCACCATGTACACATTCATGGCCCAACACACTCGGTTACTCCCTGCACATGCTCACCTCCACCCATAGGCATCCAGGCACATCACGTATACACACACACACACACACACACACACACACACACACACACCCCTATGTGTGCCTTCCACCCACATTGCCCATCCCCTGTGCACGCTTACTCCCACACATACCCACTGCCGCACGCTCTCAGCCCATGCCTCCTCCAGCCAGGATGAACAAGCGCTCTTGGTGTGCAGAGGGGCTGTGAAAGCGGAGGTTCGCCTAGAGAAGAGCAGTGACAGGGTTGAGGCTCTCTGGGAAATCACCCCGCTTGCAGCTTGGGTTTTCTTTGGGAACTAATAGCAGAGCTGCAAGCGTACAGCTGACAAGAGACCAGGGTGAGCAAGATGCTCTTCAGAGCTGAGCAGAGCTTTGGTGCTCAGCATCTCTCTACGAATAATGTTACAGTTTGTATTGCTCCAAGGACATTGGTACTCTGTGCCTGCGCTGTGCAGCGCACGCACAGGTTTTCCTGTTGCTTTTTTTTGCCTGCTCATTCAAAAGATAAGTATTGGAGTCAGGGGTGGTGGTGCACGCTTGTGATCCCAGCACTCAGGGAGGCAGAGGCAGGCGGAACTCTGCGAGTTCGAGGCCAGCCTGATCTACAAAGCAAGGCCAGGACCACTGAGGCTACACAGAGAAACCCTGCCTCAAAAAACAAACAAGAAAATAAAAAGATAAGTATTTTTTTTGTTTCTTTTGTACTTTTTCACTTCTGATTTTGATAATGAGCATACATTTTTTATGAGAAATGGTTAAATAAATGTCCAAATAAATCCTGAGTATTTTTACTAGTCCGTTACCACAAATGCTATAAAGGGCACCAGTTAGGCAGAAGCAGTTCCACCTGTGCCCTCCAATGTGACTCAGAGTCATCTCCAGGACAAGGAAGCTCAGCCTTTCTGCAAGAGGCTAGCCCAGAGCCCCCTTTCTCCTCCTCCTCAGTCACACAAGTGCCCGCTGCTTCTTGGTGTCCAGCCTAGGGACAACTTCCAAAGCAGCCCATACCACACCTTGCTTTTTATGCTTTGTGACCACAAGGCTTATGTCTGGTCTCTTTAGAAGTCATGCTGAGGTCACAGTGCTGCAAAGCTCAGAGTCATGGACAGACACCCTCGTGAAGGGAGAAACCAGGCCACAATGCTTCAGAGTGGCTCAGTATCAGTATGCCTCCCAGAAGTGCCATCTTGACACTGACACTGCGGCCCAGCTGAGGCTTCCCTCCACCTCAGCACAGAGCCGCTTGTTCTTTTAGGTGTCCTGGATGCTTCCAGAAGCAGAGTGCCAAGGGTCATCATTGGCTTGGGGCATGAGCTACATCTTTAGATCCACAGGGCAGGGTTCCGCCTCTTCTCATCAGAGAGTAGCCTTGTCAGAAATCTGCCTGAGAGTCAACTTCCTCTTCTGTGAGAAGAGGGAAGCATGTCTGGCTTGGCTTGCACTAGCAACTGCAATTAAGAAAAACTGCACAGGGCTCAGACTGCAGCTCAGTCGTTGAAGGCTTACCTAGGATGGCTGAGACCACAGGACACCCCTGCCCACCTCTCAAATTCATTTACCCTAAAACATAACAGAGTATGTTGGAGTAGAGAGACGAGGAGGAAAAGAGGGGTTGGGTATACCCCAGTTAAGAAAGAAGGCTGAAATATGAATCTTCTGAGACCCAGAGATATCCAGACAGCGTCCACCTTATTTCCTCTTGCTGAGGGAGGAATGGGTGTGCCCTGCCCTAAAGCTCATCTACCGTCCCAATGTGTCATCCGTTGCTTCTCTGTCTCAGGCCTCCAGCAGGGCAGGCTCTGATGGCTTCTTCCCAGGTGACAATCAGGCAGCCAGAACCTGCCTGTTTGGGCATCCCACTCTACTTCCTGTACCTTTCTGTTTTATCTTTCAATGTCAGAGAAGGCAGTCTGAAATCGCTCTTTAGAGTTCTGGAGAAAGTGTCGCAAGGCCAGGAGATAACCTTGTTCTCACGCTTGTATGTATTAACTGCATGCTGTACTATGAGATGTGATGCCAGACCTGAATGTGAAACCTAGCTCTGCTGTGCTTTAGCTAGAGGTATCAAATCATGACCGACAGTCTGTCGGGGACTTAATCTCTCCATGTAAAACTGGATGTGCTCTGTAGAGCTATGTGGGAATTAGATGAAATAGAGGGACGTGGAGGTGGCATGGGGGTGGGACCCACTGGTTTGGACAGAGGGAGCATGTTCCTGGCTGGTGTTGATGTAAGGACACTGCAGGATAGAGGAACTGAGTACCTCTCATCAGGTAGTGGCAGGCCAGGTTGTGATCCATCTCGTGGCCCGTTTGGAACATCATGATGTCTTGTCTGCTCCTCCAGAAACATGGAAACGGCCAGCCAGCCAGTCTCCCAGAATATAATGCTCCTGCCCTCATGGAGCTTGTGCGGGAGAAGGAGGAGCGGATCCTAGCCTTGGAGGCCGACATGACCAAGTGGGAGCAGAAGTACCTGGAAGAAAGCACCATCCGGCACTTTGCCATGAATGCCGCTGCCGCTGCCACCGCTGAGAGGTGAGAGATAGCCCCACTGATCGGGGCTTCAGACAGACAGGGATGGGCACAGTGGCCGACAGCAGAATGCCAGCGTGCAGAAGGCTGAGCCGGAAGGATGAGGAGTTCAAGAACAGCCTGGGTGGGCTAGAGTTAAACTGTCTCAAAAACAAATGAAAACTTCAGGTGGCCCAAGGAGGTCCAGAGAGGTCTATATCCCAAGGAGTAAGACATGTCGTTTTTTTTGTTTTGGTTTTGGTTTTGTTTTGTTTTGTTTTGTTTGGTGAGCTTTATCATTAAAACAAAACAAACTTGCACATAAAAAAAGCAACTTAGATAGCAAGTGTCCAGAAACCTTGAAATCTGTGCAGTTGCAAAACCTTGCCCACACATAAAACAGCAGCAACACAAAGCTCCTCTCCAAAATCCTAGCCAGTGCTGTCAAGATGAATAAAGACTGCACTGAACAGCAGCCTCTGACAAGAGCAGCCACCATTTTTATGAGACCAGCTGTGACTACTTGTAAAAGATCACTCATCTCCCATCTTAGTGGGGCCTGTACACGGTCCCCAATAGGAGGGGGCGGCGGCACAGAATCGGCAACCAAATACCAAACAGTTGTGTGCGGTTCTGCCCTGACTGTTCCTGGCCCTCAGGCCTTTGGGAAGGGGACATGGGGGTAACCAGGGGAGAGGGTACTGCATCTATATGCCCTTTGGGGAAGCCATCATCCAGGATTTTACTCGAGTGTAAGACATTTTTATCTTATCCATCCCTTGGCATCCCCAACTCTCCTCCCAAGCCCCCTCCCATATGCCTCTCGAATTCATGTCCTCTTCTATTCACACACACACACACACACACACACACACACACACACACGCACCCACGCACACAGGTGCACACACTGTTAGCTATACGCACGTTCAGTGTAGGGCTGTCTACTAGGCCACAGGCAACCTAGCAGGAAGCTTGCTCCTAAGGAAAACTGACACACTCTCTGTCTCAGCAACCAGTTGACTGGCTCTAGTTCCTCAGCGAGGCATGGGATCTTGGGAAGTCATCCCCATCCATGCTGGAATGTTGACTGGCGAGGTTATACACTGGAATTGTGCAGGCAGCCTAGGCTAGTGAGGGTTCGTGGGTGTCACTTCCCTGACATGTGCGGAAGATACTCCTCCATGTTCTTTGGCTCTTTCCGTCTTCCTGCCCCCTTTTCTGCGGTGTTTCTTGAGATGAGTGCTCTGCAGTCATTTATTCTCTACTTTGGCTCATTGTGGATCTCTGTAATAATCTGTCTGCTTCGGAAACCACTGTCCTTGAAGGGGGTTTAAAGCTGCAGTAATCAAGAGCTTCAGTGAGTGCAGCCCTGAGATGCTCTCTTAATTTTTTTAAGTTTAGAAAGAAAATTGGGCCAAAATTTAGGGCGAGCTGGCAGAGGGAGGGCTGTGCTGAGACACTTCCCAGCATGCTGCCCTTTGCTCACTCTTCCTGAAGTGTTTGCAGCATTGCCCATCCTGGATCTGCCAAGGCTGACCCCCGAGGGAGGGAAATGCTAGCTTCTAGAAGGTAAAGCGCATCTGTTACAAAGCAAAAGCTGCTCTCTCCATTCTCCGTCTGTTTGCACTGAAGACCAAGGAAAAGGGCTGGAGAGTCAAAGTGTGTCTCGTGTTCCTAGGGACACCACCATCATCAACCACTCGAGGAACGGAAGCTATGGCGAGAGCTCACTGGAGGCCCACATCTGGCCAGAGGATGAGGAGGTGGTGCAGGCCAACAGGAGGTGTCAGGACATGGAGTACACGTAAGGGCAGCCACGTGCGACCCCCGGATCTGAGTGGAGGTAGCAGTGTAGAAATTTCCCTGCAGAGCGCCCACGCTTCCCTGCTGGCTATGGCTACCTTCATTCTCTCCCCCTCAATGTGACCCACAAGCAGCTTAGTCCTCAGAGTCCCTAGCAGATGGCTATATCCAACCTCACAGCCCTCCTGGGAGTCCCCCATCTCCCGAGGCTCTGGAAAAGGCGCTCTGTTTTCATCTACCATGGAAATCATGGGAAGAACAGCTTGAGATACTTGCAGATGGCTGATGCTTGCCATCTTCTGCCAGACACAACCCTGAATCCCAGAATTACTGTGGAAGTCCCTGAGACAGGTGTTCCAGAGTTTCCTAACTAAATGGTATTTTAATCATACCTTTGTTCTTCTTTGGTTTGGTTTTATAGTATTAAAAACCTCCATGCCAAAATCATAGAAAAGGATGCCATGATAAAGGTCCTTCAGCAACGATCCCGGAAGGATGCTGGGAAGACGGATTCTTCCAGCCTGCGGCCCGCTCGCTCTGTCCCATCCATTGCTGCAGCCACCGGGACACATTCCCGACAGACATCACTTACCAGCAGCCAGCTGGTGGAGGAGAAAAAGGAAGAGAAATCCTGGAAGGGCAGTATAGGTGAGACAAGGACCCAGAGAGCAGAGATGTAGCTTCTCTCCTGTCACTGCTGGGATTTGGGATATAACCCCATCTCATTGTATGCCTTCTTCAAAAAGGGGATGGGGGGAGCCAATCATGTTATGTTGTGAGAGTTAGATGAGATATGGAAGCATTTTATAGATCTAAAGGTTGTATGAACTCTTGGGCTTGCATTGATTCCCGTCAGTATTGTTACCAAGAAGAGCATGAAATGTCTTAGCAGGACAAGCCTAGAGCCCCTCGGGACAGTACTCCATTCTGGGCAGTGTCTGTGACTGTTCCACAGTGTGTATGTACACCTGTGGGACAAGAAAAGGCTCAAGAAGATAACGGAGACTGTGTGCCCAGAGAATCACTCTCAAGGACAGGAGTCTTCCTGTGCTGAAAAGGCAGGGTGTTGGGAATTCTCCAGGAGTGGTCTTAGCTGGAATGGTATCCTAGAGTATAGACAGGCTTGTTCCCAGGCTGGGCAATGAGCTTGGAGAGGAAGCTTCCAAGTCCTCTGATCCCTTACCCTGCCTGCTGTCAGCTCCTGGGGTCTGGCCCCTCTTTGACACCTTTCTGTAGCTTAGCACACATCCTCGTTTCTATGGGCACATAGTCAATGTTCTCCAGCACAGGGCTGCAGAGGAGTCTGGCTGATTTGTCCTGTAATGTGAGAGTTTCCATATGACCCCCACAGAGTTGAGGATCAAAGACTCAGCCAGAACATCTGTTTGATGTCCCTCTACTGGTGGCCCCTACAACCCCAGCTCATCAAAGAGGACTCGTGGGGACAGCAGCTATGATCATCAAAGACCATTGCAAGGACACTTAGCTCCCAACCCAGGGAGAGGCAGGTCTGGCTAAGGAGTCTGAAATTGTTCAGTTCTGATGGAAACTTCCCTAGGAAAAATCTGTGTGACGTCATCCCAGGTACACATTACCAGTGCCTGGGTTGATGTCTCAACATTTAGCAGGTCAACACGAGGCCTTAGAGTTGAGGACCTTGGCCTAAGGAAGACTGGCCATATTATCTGCAGCAGTATACCTCCTTGCCAGTGTAACGGGCCCACATGTCAGCCATAGAAACAGGAGGGACTTTGGGGGCTCAGGTGGAAGCCCCCATCACAGGCTTCTGTGCAGGACATCAGGCTTTCCCATCTCATGCATGATGGACTTGAAGAGCTGATGGAGGCAGTAGCGTCCACTTCCTCATTGCTGAGAAGCTCCCAGGAGAGTTTTACTCGCCCCTTCTCTTCTCCCATCACTAGATTCCCGTGTGACTCTGCAGCTTCACTGGGCAGTGGTGACATAGCATTCAGGTTGGCCACGGGCCTTTGTACCCTCCTGAGCCACCCCACCAGTCCAACTATGGTTCTCAGTTGTTTGAGTTTAGAATACAAATGCCAACTCCATAAAGAGTTTAACTATATGGGACTTGGCACACGATCCAGGAGTATTTCTCATTTCATCAAGCATGCACACAAGTGCTTATTAAGGGTGTAGTGAATATGTCATTGAATAAATGAAGTCATTTTCTATCTAGAAAGAAAAGGTAAGTTTTCTTACACAAAGAAATGGGGGAAACCAGATTATCCTTGAAAAGCTGTCCTTCTGCCTTCAGGATTCCTTCTGGGGAAGGAAAATCCGGGACAGGCTTCTGCTCCTCTGCTGCCGACCACATCCGCCTCTGTGCTGTCCCCTCCGGCTCCCACCACATCGGCCAGCAGCACCCACGCCAAGACAGGCAGCAAGGACAGCAGCACGCAGACCGACAAGAGCACTGAGCTCTTCTGGCCCAGCATGGCTTCCCTCCCCAGTCGCGGCAGGCTGAGTACCGCCCCTTCCAACAGCCCCATTCTGAAACATCCAACTGCCAAAGGGAGCGTGGAGAAACTGGGTATGTGGGCCCCACTTCTACCACGCATGGAAACCCCATGGCTTGAGGGAGGGGTTCTCTACAGCTGAGCTGTAGAGAAATCAGGAAGCCCAGTCAACTCCTATGTTTCAGTGGTGGTTGTCACTTCAGACTGTGTTGTTATGGGACTAAAGTGTGTCTGGCTATGCTTAGTTCATTATTGCAGAAGAGGAACACTCAGCTCCAGTGACCTGGTAACATGTGTGTTCTACCCTTCCCCAGGGGCTAGGTAGAACAAACACATGATAAGAAGAAGCTTGAGGAAGGGAGGATTTACTGTGGCTCATAGTTTGAGGGGACAATCCAGCATGGTTAGGGTCAACGTGGCACTGGCTGAAGTATAAGATAGTTGTTCACATCTGGGCAGACAGGAAACAGAGGAGAGCTCAGGTCTTCAGCTGGCTTTCTCCTTTCTTAACTTTTACTCAATCCGGAGCCCTAAGACACACTGTCTTCTCTGGGAGACGCTCTCCCTCAGTCATTGTGCGCTTTCCACTGAGAGATTCTCATAGCCTCCCATGAGTACACCAGGGTGTATGGGATTCTTGAGCAAGCTATGACATTAGAAATGGTTCTATAAGGTACCCCCTGAAGAACAGGTTGCTGATGATTACCCTCTGTTTGACAGAGAACTCTCCTGGTCACGGGAAGTCGCCAGACCACAGAGGCCGAGTCAGCAGCTTGTTGCACAAGCCTGAGTTCCCGGATGGAGAGATGATGGAAGTGCTCATCTAACCATCATCCTGTGGAGCGTCACACCAGCATGCTGACAGATGAGAGAAGAGGCTGAAAGAAAAGGCCTAGATGGTAGCAACCGCAAAACCAGGACGGGCATGGACCCCTCATAATGTTACCAAAACAGATGGCTCACATGATTGCAGAGAGAGTGAAAGAAGATGCAGCAGAGTTGAGAAGAATTAGGAATGGAATTGCCCATTATAGAGAAATTGTATGTCTTAGGGAAGCTCCGTGCTTCCCCCTTTCTTGGCTTATACACAGATGAAGAAGAGTTGGGCCTTCCTTGGAATCACCTTGTTTCCTTTGCCTCTTAGCAGGTTTGGTTTAAGAAGAATTTGCTAGAAATCCTAAAAGCCCATCTTGGGTGTGTGTGTGTGTGTGTGTGTGTGTGTGTGTGTGTGTGTGCGCGTGCGTGCGCGCGCGCGCGCGCGCGCGCGCGTATACATGTGCACCTGCCCTTAGCAGGTGCATCCAAAGTAATGGGGAATTCCACAGACAAGTTTTGTTGATACTTGGCTGTTCTGTTTATGGTTTCAGAGAGTGTAAAGCTTTGCTTGTCTGGACTGAACGACATTTTCTGAGCAAGATGGGAGCATGATGACCTTGGTCCTCATCTACCTTAACTTCTTTGAGGTTATCTCTGTCTCTACTCATTATTTTGTTGTTGTATTTTTTTTTCTTTCTGTTTAATGAGATATAGCAGTTTCTTATGTGTGGGCCTTAGGAGACTGTCATCCTTGCTGTGGTACCCAGTTGGACAGAGCCTCATGCTGCTTCCCCTGCCTTCGCTTAACTGCTAGCTGAACTGCAGCTGTTAATCTCACGGTGACCAGGGAAACCTGGATGAGGAGCAGGAGTCCTGAGTCACTGACATCACTTCATGCCTCTGATTTGATTCCCACCCACATCCACTCTTTTGCAAGGAGCTCAACAGTTACAGCCCATTGCCCTATTGAGAAGACTTCCCTGTGAACAGGTGCCACAGGAACTTGATAATGGTTTGCTCTGAGCTCTCTAAATAGCATCCAAGATCTCACCAGGTATCCTGGGCCACTTTCTTGTATTTGAAGCTCTCAGGTCTGTTCATTGCTCTCTCCTGCCCCATTCTGCCCTGGTTGCTGTTGGCAAGTGCAGTGCGCCTTCCCTGATCATTTCTTTTTGTCCTTTCTTTTTCTTTCTTTCATTCCTTCTTTCTCTTTCTTTCTTTCTTTCTTTCTTTCTTTCTTTCTTTTCCTTCCTTCCTTCCTCTTTTCCTTTCCTTTCCTTTCCTTTCCTTTCCTGTGCACTTGCTCTGTAGCCCATCAGAATGGTAGATACACAGTGTGGTCAGTGTTGTACAAGGAACACAACTTACCCAGAGTGAGGCAGCAATGTCATGGAAATGAGCTACTGTGAGAGAGGCAAGGACCTAAGGCTGCTGCCATAATGAGGTCTCATATACTTTACTGTGGGCAGTGGCTTCCTGGAGAGCACAGGAGAAGCTGCCCAGGGTACAGAAGGCCCCTCAGGCGCCTGCACTATCCCCAGCTCAGGATCTGTTTTCCAAGTCCCTCTTCTCATCACTTTTGAGCCCCTCTTAAATGCAATCCTGAAGATGGCTCTGCCCAGGGAGCTCCCCTTGAGTCAGCTGTCCCAGGAGCTGTTCCTAGGGTGAAATTATGGCCTCCCGAGTTGGGGTAGTACATGGATTATGAGAGGTATAGCCTGGAGAACAGAGGACAGGAGCAGAGAGGAGGGGAGAGGAGAGAGACCAGTGGTGTTGCCCTCTAGGACCCTGGACCGTCTGACAGGACAGAGCTGGGGCTGGCCTCCCCAAGCATGACTTGGCAGGGGACACCAGGCTGCACAGCCACCCCTTACATCTGCCTGCCTCATATCTTGCAGCCTGAGAACTGAGCTTGCCCTGTGTGCCCTGTGCACACCGTGGGGAAGTAGAGTGAGAAGATGGCACAAGAGATCCTGCCAGTTGAGAAGGGCCTGAAAGATGGAAGCAGGTGGAGGTAGGGACCATTTTTGGATAGGGCATGGGAGCTGAGTTGATCATGACTCAGTCTCTTAAGAGCTTATTATCTCTAATTAATGTTGGGGACAAACCAGAAAGGAAAGTGTATAGAGATGGGGAATTAGTAAGGTCTTCCAGCCCTGCGGCCATGTCTGAGCCACCCTAAACTTGGGCTCTCTCCCAGCACAGGGGTGAGGCACTACCCAGTTTATTCAAAGTCTAGTCTGAGTGTTAAGTCTAGTCTGAGTGTTCCAGCCACATTGCACACTTGGGCAGAAGGTCTCCTGATCCAGCATTCCCCTCCCCACACTCCCTGCACTGTCAGTATTTCACTTGTCAGAACACAAAGAGGACACAGACAGTGACCAGGTTATCAAGTACATGTATACTGTAGCTATTGTCCAAGACCCCATGTTGAGAGAGTGGTCTTTCCGTCCTTGTAATCTTCTTGAAACGTACAGGACAAAGGAGCTGCAGGCACTCAGCAGCCGTGAATGTGCTCTGGGGAATTCACAGGATCTGATCTCATTTGATACTAAGAACAGCAGCACTACATAGGTATTTTAGTTCTGACAGTGTGGAAGGCCTAGAAAAAGAACCTCGTAACTGGTCCTTGAAGTACCAGGGAAAGAAGGCCAGGTTGACTCTCTTGATTGCTCAGACGAAGGAACTAGCCCCATGATGGGTACGGCCCATCTCCAAGCTTTCACCCCAGATGCTAGGACTTAAAGCAAAGACTCAGAAGAGGGGCCTCAAGCCCAGGCTGCACGGCCTTGAACATGATAAGAACCCAGGAGCTATGTCTGGCTGCTCCGTGGCCCCACTTATGATACTTGTGTGCACACGCAGAGAATCTGCCACACCTCCTGGGGCCTGAGAACAGGACGAAGCCCAAACCTTATACAACTGCCAAACCACGCCACTACGCTTTTGTGTTCTGTTAGAAGCACAACTACAAAGCAGATGAAAGAAATAATAAAGTCCTTCCTCATAGTGTAGAAGTCTAGTCTTCAGGTCTCCTGGGAGCATTTGGTCATAGAACTTGAGGGTCTTATATCAGGATAAAGGGTAAGGCCTTGGCATTTAGTGATGATTGGCCAATCTCCTGCTTTGTCCTTGGAGTGGCCAGTGTGGTGATGCCCGCGTACCTCCAGGTATCACGTGGGACAGGAGAAGTGTTGAGGTCATGTCTCTACCACTGTGGTTTCCGTAAGTAGATCCTTCTATATGTAAGAATTATTCCTGTCTGAGAGTTCATCACGCTAAGCTGCCAAGAAAAACACATTCATTTGCAAAGAACTAAGAATGTTTGCTGAACTCCTGGCAGGCATTGTTCCCTGTTTCCCAGAGGCTGGTGACCAGCTCCTGTGGAGTGTTCAGCGAGTCCCCACCATGTCTCAAGGGGGCTGCACTCTTCTACCCCCAGCTTTCCTTAGGGGTGGAGACAAGGAATGGTGGGAGCAGTTTTCTACAGTCCCACAAAGGAGCCCATGCGTGAGTCTTGACCTTTTGTTTTGAGTGGGTTTTGAGACAGTTGCTCCAAGTGAGTTCTGGCCTCAGAACAGAGGATCCAGCAATTCCTACACTCGGGAAAGAAACTCCGTGTCCCCCGCAGACAGGCAAGACCTGACCTGTTGGCTCTCTCTCCTGCGTGGCCTCAGCCAGCTGCACACACTTAAGACAGGGCTGAAGCTGCTCCTCCCTGAGACCTGCCATGAGTCCTAGAGACTTTCGTGAACAACCAGCTGAGGCTGATGACCAAGAGGCAGCGAGGATGACAGTGACGCTCATGGGGTTTCCAGGATGGTCACTCGTGTGCAGGCTGCAGAGGGCTGTGCTAAGTGGGAGGGTACGTTCTCCAAACACAAGAATGCCTGCGCCGGCACGAGTGGGGCGTGTTTTTCTGTGTTTTCCAGATGATCTTAACCCCCTCTTAGCAAAGGAGTTTGTGCATGTTGGAAGCAAGAGCTGACAAATGTGCTTAAACGGTAAAGCCAGAGAAAGGCCAGCCCCAGTAACTTCCCTAAGGGCTGAGTCAGCCACAGTCTCGGAGTGTACGTGTTGGCCGTCTTCTATTTTTGTAAATTAATCAGTGTGTTTTAAATGTCATCAGTTGATGTGAGGATTGTCTAAGGCATTTGCCTGTGGTGTGGCTCCATGGGAGACTGGCTGTGTAATAAGAAACCCAAGAAGCCAGTCATCCAGGGTGCACAGGCCAGCATTCAGTGGCTTTCCTCCGGAATGGGTGAGCACTCTTCTTCCCTCTCTTCAGTAGGATGCCCCATTCTTGTTTAGTAATTTAGTGGCGGATTATAATGCGTATATACAAGTGCATACTTATGAGGTAGCATTTCTTTCCTTAATATCCAGAAAATCCCACTGTTTCCCCATGAGCATTCTCCTCGGGAGGACTGCAGGGCTCCCCAAGTAAAATGGTGGTTGACTCCTCTAGCAGAATGGCCTCTGGGGTCTGGCGTGGTCCTCAAATTCCCCTTGAGGTGAGAGGTCATTGTCTTTTGAGAGTGGATTGAAGTTGGGGAAATATCCCAGATTGTTCACAGCACAAGTGAATGAACTCAGAGGGCATTAGTCAGAGTAAGAGTCCCAGGACCATCGAGATGACCCAGTAGGAAAGGCACTGTCACCAAGCCAAGACCTGGGCTCCATCCCCAGGACACACTGGGTAGGAGAGGACCAACTCCTGCAAGTTGTCCACACACACACACACACACACACACACGTTTTAAAAGAATATCGAACATGTAGGAAGAGTCATTAGTATCCGTGACCTCTAGGGCCTTTTTTCAAGCCCGGTTCTCTCGCCAGGCCTCGTGTGCGTGCACGCTGTCCCCCCCCCCCCCCCCAGTACACTGCAGAACTAAGTCCGTATTCATTAGTATGAACACCCAGTAGGTATTCTGTAAAATGGAGATATACTTAAGTGCATGTTGTGTGTGCCGTGACTGAGGTGTGTCCTTGTCGTGAGACTTTGCTTCTTTGCCGAGTTAAGACCCTGCCCTTCCCTCGAGACAGTAAATATACAGCAGTTTCTGGAATCAGCTTCTCAAGTTTTGCCGCCTGTGTTGTGTTTACCTGTGACTTTGCCTGAGTGTCTGTTCTCACATACACACCTGTATTTATTACAAAGCAGAACAGGGACAGGCTTAGCCGGAGTATTTGTATCTGAATGTTTTTCGAGGAGGGACGGTGGAGCCTCCTCCTCAGTGAGGCACTGACAGAATCTGTGTCAAATTCTGTGAACTGGGGCCAACACGGGTACCAGCTTCAGCCTGACTGAGTGCCCTGGGGCCACTGCCCTCTCCACTGCCTTGTGTGTGTGCGTGCGTGTGGTTGTGTTTGTGGCCCTGTGCTGAGGGCATGTGCCGCTCTTCCCAGCAGACCCTGGTATCCATGTGCAACCTTTGGCATCTCCGTGTTACTGCACTGTATTGTGAGGTGGTGCGCAGATCGGAGCAGATGGGTCTGTGCAGACTGGGGAGTCCCCATAGTGAATGTGGATACTGTTGGTCAGCCAAAGATTTTCCTATTCTTTGCTGCTTAAACTTTGTGCCTTAAAATTGTAAATAATAAATGGGTAAAACAAAAAGGTGGCTCTTCTTTTCCCTCCTTGTTCCCTTTTTCTCCAGAGGACATAAACAAAGCACAGATGTTTCATCTTGACAGCCTGCACACAGAGGGCCTCTTGGTGCTGCTAGCCTTGCCCCAGTGGTCATCAGCAAACACAGACACAGGGTCTGGAAGGAGGCATTGAGTCATAGCTGCTGGGGTTGGCAGCCCACTCTGCCTTCCCGGAGGATGGATGAGGAGGGAAGAAGTGTGGGAGGCTGGGCTGAGCACATACGAGCATCCTCAGGGTGGGGGCTTGGGATGCTGGCCTGTGACTGGGAAACAGCTCTGCCTTGGCGAGTCATCCAGGCAGCCTGGATGCCAGGGAACAGACCACAGGCAGACGTGCTCTATGCCCCAGGATGCACAGGGAAGGTGGTAGCTGCTTTGTCACAAGTGGATAGCAATTAGTTTCATAGTAAAGTAGCAAGGAGCCTCAGTGAGTAACATAGACCAGAATAAACCCCACGAGCATCCAAACAGCAGGCAAAGACACTTCGGATGACATCAGTGACTGGGAAGCCACTGAGTTATCTCTGGCCATGTCTTCTAGAGTAGAAAGCTGTCTCTTTGCCCCAGGTCTCAGCATGGGAAGGGATTCCTAGACATGAGCTCAGAGAGAGGATGAAGGAGGCAGCTCCAGACCTCTCACAAATGTGGTCCCCTTCAGCCCTCATAGTAGTCTAGCCAATGTCCATCTGTCAAGACCGGGAAACAGGCTCAGACAGGAGCAAAAAGTCACAGGGTGGGGATTTCAGCTCTGCTCTTCCTGACAGTTGGGAAACTTGCCTACAAAACACATGTGGGCCCTAGAGACAAAGAGCTCAATCCCGTATATGCCTGACCTCTCATCTATCTGACCTACTACCCAGATAAATCCTCTTTGGGAAACTATTCCTTAGGGGTGGGGGTGTTAATCTACACGTATTAAGACTCATACACAAAAGATAGGATAAATGATTATTTAAGGTAGCAGCCACGATTGGGCCGGGTGTTAGACTGTATAGCTTGTTGAAGGAAAACAAGGAGGGTGCACTTAATCTAAAAATGCCATTTCTGACGGAACGTGACGTAGGAGAAGCACATTAAAAATGCATGTGAACTTCAGCAGCAGACGGCAGCCTGTGTCTGTGGTGCAGGCGGGCCGAGGAAAGGTTTCTGAGGTTGGCCAGTCTGGGAACCGGGAGGCCGGGAGCCGCTGTGCTGGCATGTGGGCACTGCAACAAGGCACTGGGCGGGGACCTCTCAGAGACTGCTGGGTTCATCCTTTCCAGGACTGTGGAGAGTGAAGCCCAGTACACAAGCCACTGGGCCCTCTACATAAGTCTCTGCACATGTGGATAGGTGGGTCTAGACAATGTTGGGGGAAAAGGTTCTCTCCAGAACAACGTTCCTAATTCCAGCATGTTGCTTTGCTTGCTGTGTTATTGTGGTCCTAGGCCCCTCCTCAAAACTTACCCTTCACGGACAGACCCGTTTACGCTGAGAAATGTGCTTTGTGTGTGGAAAGAAAATATGGAGATTACAGGGATAGCTCAGTGGTTAAGAGTGTATACTGCTCTTCCAGAAGAGCTGATTCAGTTCCCAGCACCCACGCTAGGGGCCTTTAACTCCAGCTCCTGGGAATAGAGATTTGAAGTATATCATGCCTATTCCAAGAAATGCTGTCTGGGGCTAATGAGCCATCAGGAGTACTTAGAACCAAGGTAGGGAGGACCAGAAACTAAAGGGACTATCAGCCCATAAGCAAATAAAAGCTCTCCAGCTCAAGCCATGAAGACCTTAATACCATTCATTATACCATCAAAGCCAAGATAAGGAGAGGAAGAAAGGAGCTTGGTTGGTGGGCCAGAGTAGACTGAAGCTGGAAGGCAAGTAAGAGTGGTAAGTGCGAAACACTTGAAAAGGATTGATCCATCAGTTGTTTGGAATGGAATCTTTCAGTCAGATTTGGAGCAATTAGTCTTGGCTAGGTCTTTGGGAAATGACTATTTCATTGGAAAGTGCTCTTTTATTCCTGTTCAGATTACCACTAAAAACATTTCAATTTCCATTTCAATGCCCCAGTTGGTTGTGATTAAGTGACACAGAGGAAAACATAGTAAACACTGAAAATCTTTGTAACATTGTGCAAATGCTGCTTGAGTTCCACAGAACTGCTTCCAGACCACAGCAGTCATCCTTAATGTTCTACAGTTAGGAAGATTGTAATGTGTATCTTCCCACTTAGTGTCCGCATTCGCTATTAAAATGCCTGAGAACTCGAAGAAGGAAGCATTTCTTCTGATGTATGGTTATGGAGGCTTTGCTTTATAATTATTTGCCACCGTCATTTACAGACCTGTGGCAAGGCAGGGCATTCTGGTGGGATGAACATGGTCCAGCAAAGCTGGCACTTCCTGGCAGATAAGAACAGCAAAAGAGAGAACAGAAGGAAGGGGCAAGAACAAAACATTCAAAGGCATGTTCCCAGGAACCTGCTTCTAACTCTGCCCATATCATAACGGGGGCCCACCTCCAAAAGTATTGTCAGCTGGAACCAAGCCTTCAATGCAGCCTTTGGGTGACATTCCATAGCCAAACTATAACATCCCAGAATAAAAGTTTCCATTCCAAAAGGAAGGGATTGGGGAGGGGGCATTTAGGGGGAGGTGGAACAAGGTAATACTCAAACCCAGCAATTATTCAGTCTAACTCCATGGCCAGCATCTAGGGCATGTGCTGATAGGATGGTAGCTCTAAAGCAATGTGGCAGGTCATCACCATGACTTTGGGGATCCAAGCCACATGGCTACCCTTGAGCTCAGTCTGCTCATTGCTGCTACCTCATCTCAGCATGCTGCTCCATGTTCCTGGCATTGCTAACTTCCTGGAGTCTCCATGCAGCCCCAGCTTCACTCTTATAGTGCCATGCATTGTCTGAAGTTTCCTGCAGGGATTCCAACCTCGATGTACATCACATGGCCTCCCAAACTTTCCTGTGAAATTGGGTGAAAGCCTCTATGATTGGCTCTTTCATTTTGCATGTCCATAAAACTAGTGTCATGAATGATGCCAAGGTCTGCCATGCAGTCAGTGGGCCCATTCAGACAATGGCTGCAGCAGCTCTGGGACTGAGCATGGTGAAGCAGCTTCTTAGCCAATTCTGGTCAGTCCCCATGTGGGCAGAACTTCTCAGCGGTCACTGCTCAAAACAAAGCCTTCCAAACAAATTTGCGCTTTTACAGCCTTGAGACTGACAGGTGGCCAATTCTTGAGATGCCCTCAAATCTTGCTCCCTACTGTCCTAGGACAAAGTTCATGGCTTCTTTTTAATGGTGCTAATCTCTTCAACAATAACACTTTCTTTAGCCCCAATTTTATGTGCAGTATTGTGTCTAAATTACAAAGTCTACCAAATATTTCCACTCTGCTCTTTGCTCTCCATTTTCATTATAAACCTGGCCAGTATTCCAAAGCCTGGAATGCCCATACCATATCATGAGTGATTGGCTTGTCTTAAAATTTGCTCCTTCCAGCAACATATAAATGTATATAATGTAATTAGTCCATTACATTTATACTCAGCCTACCACAAAGTCTCAGGGCTTGAACAAAACATAGGCAGGTTCTTCATCACAGGGTAATAAGAATGATCTCCAGAACAATTCCCTGCCGTGCCCTCATTTGTGAAATCTGATGGCCACCCCTTTTTAAATCAATTATCTCTTAGCCTTCCGTTGCTAGAAAAAAAGAAAAAAAAAACAAAAAACAAAAACAAACAAACAAAAAAAAAAAACGTGAGGCAAACACTTGAAAGGAGGAAAGATTTATTTATTTTTCTCAGTTTCAGAGATTCCCATGCTTAGTCACTAGGCTCCATTGCTGTGGACCTGAGAGAAAGCTGAACAGCAGGGAAATGGGAAGGTGTGGTGGAGGAGACACAGCATCCGGGAGGCTGAAAGAGCAAGCGGGAAACTCCATTTCTGACTGTGTCTGTGACTGCGTAAAGGGTGGCTCTGGGCAAACCCTGGGTGTCTCAGGGCTCGTCCAGGAAGATAGCTGCTGGAACATTTGCATTTAGGCACATTTGCATTCCTGGAACCCTCACCTTTCTCTGCATCCTTTGTACTCTGTAGATGAAAAGTCCTCATTCCAGAAGTTCTATTCCTAGCAGTCCTGTGGTGCACCCTGCAGGAAACACGGTCTGTTTGCCAAGATGGCTGCCGGAGACTATGGAGGATAGCAATGCCTTTTAAACTCTGTGCTCAGAAGTTAGGTTACAAGATAAATCAGGAGCTATGAGAGAGCTTCCTGCCACCAAAAGGTGTTATATGTGTGTACATGTGCAAGTGTAAGTGCACGAGCACATTCACACATGCGCACAAGAGACAGAGACAGAGAGATGAGCTTCGTATATCCCTGCAGGCCAATAGCTCGCATTGTATCCAGGTGAGGCAAAGCTCCCTTTACTCCCGACTGCTCTATCACTCTTCTGACATGATTGATTTTGTTAGGCTGAACTGGTGGCTGGAGAGATGGCTCAGTGGTTAAGAGCACTGGCTGCTCTTCCGGAGGACCTAAGTTCAATGCCCGGCATCCACATGGGGACCCACCATGCAGTCTCAAAAGATCCAGTGCCCTCTTCTGACTTCCTCGGACAATGCACAGACATACACGCAGGCAAAGCACCCATACACATAAAATTGAAAGGGGAAAAAAAGCTGCGCCAGAAGCTTGTGAGAACACAGAAAACCTCCCCATCTATGAGGTCTATGGAAAGGTAGCTTTGCCCATGTCATTAGAAACTCTTAATGTCCCCATTTGAAATGTGTAGGATTCATGGGCTACATTACTGAGTCATTTGGAGCATAACACGAAGTCCCTACCCCAGGGCCTTCAATATAAAGCTATTCAAGCAAGCCCGACAAAGCGACCAGGCTAGCTTCTCTTCAGCACTCAAGATGAGACCCGGTGCTTATTCTCTCAGAAAAC